GTAGTAAGTCCAGCCTGACTGCTTGCTTTGTACAGAAATCAGACTTTCAGTCAAGAGAGCAAAATGCCTCAATCGTCAGGCATTTGTCAAAAGGAGCAGAGCTACCTCTAGGAGTCCAGAATTTAGAACCATTCCCTGTTCTCTCCCACGTGTGCTTGACGTATGTAACACGCCAGCTCCTAGCAGAGCTGTGCAGTTTCCCGTTGCTGCTTTTATCATCAAGATCCAAGTTTTTCACCCAAGCCATTGTGCGCTCCTGACAGGCTCCCGCGGCCACGCCGCCCCCGGCTCACAGACGCACAACAGGCTCCCTTTGTGTCTCGCTCCCCTTCGTCCTGAAGCCGCTGCATCTGAGAGCAGATCACACTCATGTCTCCCACAGCTCAGAGCCTCTCCTCAGTGCTACTGGGGATGACTTTTAAAACCACTCTTCCTTTGTTTCAAATTTTAGGGACACAGCGGGTCAGGAGAGATTTCGAACCATCACAACAGCCTACTACAGAGGAGCCATGGTGAGTGTGTGCTAGGGTTTTGTGAAAGTAAAACATGAATATTCAGTCGTCAAGGTTGTAGGATTCAAGCTGGAGTCTAGTACATTGGAGAAAATAGACCCCTTTTTTGATGTGGAAACAAAACATTTAAAGGGATTTTTATGTTTTGTGTTTAGCAGCTGGATACTTCCTGATATTAATCATGGAATTAGCCTGTAGGTGTTTGAGATCTCTGATCTAAACACTGGGAGTGGTCGTGCAGTTCTGTGCCCTTCCCTTTTATTAACACCTTTGCCAGATCTTAGCAAGCCACGATCTCTGTGACTGAATGTTTGTTTCTTGCACCCTCTCCCCATTCAGCCTGCCACCCCCATCCCTTGTCCCTCGCCAGGTCCACAGCATCCACTCCTCTTGGCCCCTCTCTCTGGAGTCTCTGCCACGGCATTCTGCCAGCTGGCCAGGAAGTGGCCGAATGATCTACGACTCTTAGAGGCTTAGGGTCTGGTGAATCTTGGCTATTGGGCCTTCTTTGCTACATCCTAGCCTTATTTTTGTTATCATAACCTCATCGCTTGGCTGTGTTCCATCCTAAGATGCTTCATGTCTACAACCCAGTTACACTGCTTGTTGGCTCGGGCAGATGCTGTGTGGTGGTGCAAGCAGAGTGGTGAGTAAGGCAGCTTAGAAGCTGAGCCCCGCTGAACCAAGCCTAGAAGGTCAGGCCCAGGACGGGGCTTTATCTCTGGTTTTTAGGCCTAAGCCAAGTATAACTTGGAGCTTTGAATTACGATGAAACCCCATATGCTCAGAGAGTCTTGGAAAGTTGAACAGTTGAGATCTTGTACCCACCCTGGTGGACTGTGGGGTACCGGCTGCCATCACACCCAGCTCATTGCTTGAAAGACTGTTGTGGTCCTGAGGGTGGAGTGGGGGTGACAGAGCTGTCCCTTTGCCTTGGGGACTGTGAAATCTGAATCCACACATCCCTTCCTTGTCATGCCACTCTCCTTTCCTCCTCCACTGCCACACACCGCCATTATTTGAGTGCCAGTAACTCATCCCCCCACAAAGGTTGGGGATTCCTTTTTAGAGCTCTGTCACCTTGGCACTGTATACCGCTAAGCATCTTATATATGTGTGTGTGTTCTCCACTCTCCACCCTGTAATATGTTTAAGATTGTGAAAGATCATCGTTTTAAGAAGGATGGTTGTCAGCTACTCTCTGTTGTGCTCAGATTGGAATCAAAGGAAAGGGACTTCACTTGTGTGCCTGGAAGAAGTTTGTTTGTTCGTTGTTTGTTTCCCCCAGAAAGGACTGATAAATAAGCACATCTTAACAGGGATGGTTTGTAATAGTTTACAGGTCATTTTGATTAGAGGCGTCTTACAAACCTTTACACTGACCGCTTTTTCATTTTGTAGGGGAGATGTATCGATACCACTTGCAAGCCTGTTTTCACTAGAGAGTGGGCAAGAACACTTAGAAGGTGGAGCAAAAGTTTCCCTCGGCTGTTTAGCTCCAGTTCATGGTGTAAGGAAAGAGGTCCCTGAAGTGTGTTCTCTAATTTTAGATCTGAGGATTGTCTGTCTTCTTCATTTGTCTGCTGCCTCGCCTTTTTTCACATCACTTTAACAGCTAGAAGCTGTTGCCAGTCTTCCCCATTTTGAAGGTAGGGGCTTTTGTCTCTTCTTCTGTGATGCCAGAGCCTTACACATAGTAGATGCTCAGCGAACACTTGCTGAAGGGATGAGTCACTGGAAAAGTTCAGACCTAGAAACAGCCTTAGATACATCTTCGGGGAATCCTGCTCTACTTGAGTCTTGGGTCCCACATGTCGTCTGTTCCAGTGGGATGTGCGGCCATCATGGTCTCACTGGGACGAGTTCTCGTCTCAGCAGGTGGTGGTCCTGGCAGCTTCAGTTTGGTTGGCTCACATCGACAGCACTTCGGTAAGCACTGTACTGGGTCTGCCACCGTGACAGAGTCCTTTGGTCTATTTTAAACCATTCAGCGACATCCTTGGGCATACCAGTTACCCTGATGAACAATCAGCCTTCGGGGGGAGAAGGGACCATATCATTGCGTTATCAACATTTCTCCTAGACCAGTGCTGCCTTGTGAACCGTAAGGAGGCTGTGGTTGTTATAGGTGTGGATACTAGATACAAAAAGTTCTTAACTGTGACACTTGATTTGTATTTCAGATGGATTCATAATATCAGTTAGCTTACAAACATAGGAAACAGTCGACGGTTTTCTGCTGCTAAAACCAAAGATATAAATTCATAATAGCTGCCAATTATTGAGTCCAAACTGTGTCCTGAGTTCTGGGTTAAGTACTTTGCAAACAGTTCAGTAGATCCTGAAAACTCCAGTGTGGAAGATGTGTGGTCCTCATTTTCCAAATGAGGGAATGCAGACTGAGAGGGGTGAAATAACGTCTCCAGGATCTCCCAGCTGGCTTGTGATGGAGCCCAGGCTCGATGCCTCTGACTCCGGAGTCTGTGCCCTTGACCGCTACACTGTGTTCACACTTCCCGTGCTAACCGCCCAGAGTGCTACTTGAGAGACAGACAGCAGCAGAGATCAAGATTGTCCACACAGCCCAAACGGTAGTCGAGCGAAGGCAGTTTGTTGGTTAATTTTAATGTTGTAGGCAGCTAAACACTTTGAATCAGAAATTGTTCAGGTTGCATTTTGAGGTTTCTTTTCATTGTGGTAAAATATATGGAACACAACATGTGCCATTTAAATGTATAGTTCTCCACTTTCATTTTGTTTTTTAGTTACCTTCATAATTGTAAAAATCTTCTTTACAGTGTAGCCAAAGTTAAACATCTGCATTTGAGGCTAGGAGGAGGGAGACAGAGAAGAATACTGTTTGTCACTTAAATTTGAATAAGAACATATATTTTTCTGGGTGTCAGAAGGTTACCTGTAGTATAGAAAGCTTTGAGAAATACCACGAAATCACCCAAAATCCCACCACTGTAAGAGTTGGCTTCTGTTAACGTTCTGCTATGCTTCTTGGATTCTTTTATCTGTGTGTACATGTGTGTTTTATGTGATTTATGTTTATGTACATTTATATTTTATATTTATTTACAAAGTTGGAAGCAAGACCCTGAAGGACTTTGCCTACCATTTAAGGAATTTTCATTGAATTATAAGTACCATGGAGAGATACTAAAGGG